ACCCGGAGAAAAACCTCTCAGAGCAGAGTAGAGAACCAACAAACTCAATCCACTTATGGCGCCGGGTCCGGGAATCGAACCCGGGACACATTGGTGGAAGGCGAGCACTCTCACCACTACGCCAAACCTGCTCCCCATATTAAATATCAAGATGAAAAATACAAATTGACATTTGATTTGCCAGCTGACTTTATCTGTTGCCTGAAGGTCATAAATTTAAGCAGCAACTTCGTTTGTGGGAATTGATTTTTGTCTGAGCCAGACAGTCAGTGCAATAATACAATAAGCTGAATCATACATGCATTTTTATTTGTTCTCACTTATGATCTAAAGGAGGACAGATGCATAGATAAAGTCACCATTAATAACATCTTGCTTTTTTTAAGAGATAAAACAAAAGATTCTGTGGTGCTTAGGGTCTGTACAGTACAGTGGAAAGAACATCCATAACACACCCAGCTGTGGTTCATGTGTGACTTTTTTGTTCTTAAGCTGCAGTTCGATGTCATCTGTGATCAATTCCTCAACAGACGCAGGGCAACATGTAATCTAATTGTTAAATTGAGATCTCTTGAATTCTCCAAGAACTTACCAGATCTGGGCTGACGTTCTTGTATCTTGGGATGAATGGCTAACACTGATGCAATAACACACAGGATCAAATTGAAGCTGATGAAAAACTTGTTGGTATGACATTTCTTCTCAGGTGCACCATCTACACCATGAGTGAAATAAATGTACAGGCAGATAATTCCTGCCACAGCAGTGCCATACATCAAGAACGTAAAGAAAAGCAGCAGCCCTGCCCAGACTTTGGAGCCACCCTCTTCCATTTTTTCAACCCAAGAGCTGTTCCATGAATGAGCAAAGTCCACAAGAAGAACCAGTTGTATCAAGATAAACAGGAATGCCCCAATCAGGCCAAAGTACATCCAAACTAAGGAATGATCAGACCAACATGTTTGAACAATCATCCTAAGCATGTAGTCATAATTATAAGGCTTTGTAAAATAACTAAGACACTAGATACTATGAGCACCTGGATTAGTTAAAATCTATCATATAATGCACCAGTAAGCACATGAAAAACTGACATGATTTACCAACTTTTCTTTTGTTCCCCCAACAACCCAAGTGAGTTATTATGCTAGTAAACCAATGGAAAGTTCAGTCTGTAGCTTAATAAGTAAACTAAGACTTAGATATTTAGCTATTTTCCCAATTTTGCTTTTAAAATTTCCGAGACCTTCATGTGATGGGTAAATTTAAGCTTTTTGGACAAGCTACACGTTCAAGTGTATTCTAAGATGTGGTCTCTACCTGCATACTAAGAGTCAGTGAGTAACAGGAGTTACAAGAAGTCAGAATAGGATGCCTTCTACTTGAACAAAATGTTTACAATTTTAACACTCAACCAGACTCAAACTGTTAACCCTTTAACTCCAAGAATTAACCTTTTCACTCCTGAGATCTCATTAGTAATTCTCTTTGCTGTCTGTGATACAATTCTTCAAGAACTATTCTGATCAATTAACAATCCACTGGTTAATATTTTTCTTTGTTCTCATTACTTGTCTGCTTGATAGTGTATTGATATTGTAAGGAGAAATTCTGTCTTGGTCACATAAGGAAGTGAAAGGGTTTGGTAATATCTAACTTGTCCCTATAACATCCGTGGATACATTATCCAGCATACAGGTAATGAGAATACTCAAACTTATCAGGTGGAAGTTGTTGTCTTGATCTAATTTACTAGATTCTCGTGACTGATTTATGAGGAAATATGTAGCATCTGGAGGGGAGAATAAACAATCAATCTTAAGGCTTGGAGGGCTAGCAACTTCAAAAATTCAAAAATTAAAAGATTACTATAAAAGACATTCAATTAAATGGCAAAAAACTAGTAACATGTACTTGCATTACCTTCCACAAAAGATCCAGTTGGGATGAAAAATGCTCCCACTATCAGACCAACATAAATCAAGACCTTGAGACCCCAGAAACCATTTTGCATTCCAGACCTTGGATCTTTACTGCTCTTCACACCATACATGATGAGACAGAAGAAGAAGAAGAAAGCTGCCATGGCAAAGCAGATACGATACACTGCTAGGTAACCAACAACGCTGTCACAAATCTTACTTTCTTTCTGTTGAACAAAGTGATAAACAACTTCCTGTCTGAGTAAATTGTAGGATAAATTGTCTAGAATTGCATAATTGAATAAAATCTTGCACTCTGATTGGTTAACGAAGCAAGGTATTCAGCTTGGAAATGCAAGTTGAAAACAAGGCTTAGTGGTATTGTTTTGCACCT